AAGAGAGGCAGAAAGACTCAAACCCCATGGATCCTGCGGACCAATGAATCAGGTGTATGAGGGATGCTAGTATAAAAGTGCTGCTCAGAGTGACAGCAAGTCAAGGAGTCATATAGCCAGATCACTTCTGCATTGCCTTTAAGTGAATAGATGAGGCCAGCCTGGCAAGATGCTCCAGAATTGTTTTTTAAGATGATCAGGTATTGTGTTTTTCCATGTAGCATCTCAGGAATGGCAGGAGTCACCATGGTGTATTACAATAGCTGCATTCAGGAGTTCAACAGTGTCAACATCTGGCCTGCTGGCTGAGGTCCTGTGTGGCCAACAGGTCTGAGTGCCCAAACAACCTTGTGTGTAAGCACCAAAGCCTTGGTGTTTCACTTCACTGGTGAGGGTTCAGCAGAAAAGAAAATAAGAAAATCCACTGGAGTGCTAGCATGCTCTCCTGGGAGACAGGAGATGCCGGTGGCAATACCAGTCCATGGAGAGATGCTGGGATTTCTCTCTCATTGGGAGTGCTCTAATATTTTTTCTATTCCAGGGAAGTGAGGCAACTTCCCCGGCATTCTGCTTCCCAATAGGTCTCTTATAAAAGAGATGAGCCCTGCTCATTTCTATGTAAGAAATGAGCACATGCACCTGCCCTCAAAGAAGGCTGGGGGCTGTTGGATCTCTTGACATGGAGAGCAGCTCCCAGTAGCCTTGATGGGGACTCCCAGCCCTGCTGGCTGCCTAGAGGAGAGTAGGGAAGCCTTCCTTCCCACCATGTCATGAACCTATCCTGAGATATCAGTGTCTCTCCACTTGGTGTCGGAGGTAAACACTTAGGTTTAGATAGTCTCGGTTCTCTTTGATCACTCCATTTAGCAGAGGACAGTTGACACTCACTTAGAGCCTCTTACATGTGGATTAAATACATATGGGGGAGTTTGGAATGGGATAGAATGAGCTCTCCTACAGACTGGAATGGAATGTAAGAGCTGTAATTAGTACCAATTTGCACATGTGTTATGAATTTTGTGTGGATACAGCCAGCATCCCTTTTAGTGCTTGTGGTTTAAGAAATCTAACTGCATATGTTACATAAGGGAACCTGAGAAGATAAAACTTGTCTGTTCATGAAAAATAGACTGCAATGCAACAGCAAGACCTGAACGTAGATGAGGATGAATCACTTTCTTGTCCCCTTTGGGCGGTGCTACCCGATTTTACTGCATGGCACGTGGCTGTTCTTCCCCCCAAAATTGTGCCTTGGAGCTCTGGACTTGAGGTCTGCCTTGGTAGAGTGAAGGGCCCCAGCTCCACAAGCAACGCTAGTGTCCAGCCAAGCAGATACAGTAATGACTGCTGGAGAGGAAACGCACATTGCTCCAAGTGGAAGAAATGCTCATTCTATCAGCCAAAATGGAAGGGAACTAACTGAACTGGCAACAAAACTGGCAACAAAATTCCATCTAATTTCAGGTGGAGAAGGTTTTAGTTGTTAAGCTCTGAAGAGGAATGGACAGAAATTCAAATGCTTCTGAAAGGGGAACAGGAAGGAATTCAGAATTAAACCCCAAATAGGACTGTTTGCCACTGAAATGCTCTGAGTCATGTATCAACACAACATGATCCAGACACTACCTGGTGGTGGGTACTTTGTCCCTCTTCAGGAAGATCTCCTGGCCAAAAGCACCCACTTAACACAGTCACAGAATCACACAATGATTGAATGGTTAAGATTGGAAGGGGCCTCTAGCAATCATCTAATCCAACCCCACTGCTCTTGCAGGGTCACCTAGAGCACGGGGCACAGGGTGGCATCCAAGCGGGTTTTGAAGATCTCCAGAGAAAGAGAATCCACAGCCTTCCTGGACAGCCTGTTCCAGGGCTCTGTCACCCTAAAGAAGTGCAGCGTGTATTCACTAGGAGAAGTATTTCCCTAGTCAGCAGGGAAATACTGAGAGATAGGACTGAAAACACACCCACGACCTGGAGGTAGTGCCTTACAGGATCACAGAATGTTCAAGGTTGGAAGGGACCTCTACAGATCATCTAGTCCAACCTTCCTGTTCCAGCAGGCACACCTACAGCATGGGGCACAGGGTGGCATCCAGGCGGGTTTTGAAGACCTCCAGACAAGGAGACTCCACAACCTCCCTGGGCAGCCTGTTCCACTGCTCTGTCACCCTCACAGGAATGAAGTTCCTCCTCGCCTGGAGACGGAACTTTCTGTGCTCCAGCTTATGGCCATTACCCCTCATCCTATCGTTGGCCACCAGTGAAAACAGCTTGTCCCCTTCCTCCTTGCATTCTCCCTTCATGTATTTATAGATGTTAATAAGATCCCCTCTCAGCCTTCTCTTCTCCAAGCTGAACAGGCCCAGTTCACTCAGTCTCTCCTCATACGAGAGATATTCCAGTCCCTTAATCATCTTTGTAGCTGGACCAGCTCTCCACTGGACCCTCTCGAGAAGCTCCACGTCCCTCTTATACTGGGGAGCCCAGAACTGCACCCAGTACTCCAGGTGCGGCCTCACCAGAGCTGAGTAGAGGGGCAGAATCACCTCCCTTGACCTGCTGGCAACATCCTCCTGTTGCAGCCAGGATCTCATTGGCCTTCTTGGCCACGAGGGCACACTGCTGCCTCATGGTTAACTTGGTGTCCACCAGGACTCCCAGGTCCCTCTCCATGGAGCTGCTCTCCAGCAGGTCGACCCCTAATCTGTCCTGGTGCCTGGGATTATTCTTCCCCAAGTGCAGGACCCTGCACTTGTCCTTATTGAACCTCATGAGGTTCCTCTCTGCCCAACTCACCAGGCTGTCCAGGTCCCTCTGGATGGCAGCACAGCCCTCCGGAGTGTCGGCCACTCCACCCAGCTTGGTACCTTACTCTTCATGGTACCATACTCTTGGTACCTTACTCTTACTCTGCACCTTACTCTTGGCTGTCACGCTTTCCTCCATGGCGTGAAGGTCACTTCAACACTCATTCCTTCAGTGCAGGAATTAAAGTCAGTAATTTTTTTTTATACTTTCTTTCACTGACCCAGAGTGTCTTATATTACTCTAGTCAAAGCTGAATGGCTTTATCAGATCAGAGAGAAAGCCTCAGAATAGCCAGAAACTGGTAAGAAAAGCCTGGAAGCCAAAGGTGGCTGGGAATCCCTGAGGACCATGAAACACATGGAGTTCGGGCTTTTCTTTTTTTTTTTTTTTTTTTTTTTATTTTCCCAACTAAAGCAGAAGAGAAAAAGAAAAAAGTTAAAGCAAGAAGAACCAGCCTTTCCCCTCTGTGCTCTTTGCCATGACCCACTCTGTATTTACCGAATAGGAATACATGGATGCCTGCGCTCTGTACTGAAAGAGCAGGTGGCGAGTGTGACGAGTTGAGGACCTGTTGCACTGAAAACCCTGAGGTCTGGCCAAAGTCCCATTTACATCTATGCCCTGACCTCTGACTCCTTTTGAATCCACTGACCTTTCATTGCTCCAGCCTCTCAACCTGAACGTCACTGCTCTGAAGGGGCAGGTTTGTGTTGGTGGAGATGGGGGCCAGGACACAACCCACAGAGTGGGCAGCCCCGGTAGAGGAGGCAGCAGAGACTGAGTCTCATGAGAAGTTCTCTTCTAACAGAATCAAGCTTCCTTTAGCAATGGACAAGCATGCGTGACTATCCATGCTATCCTAATTAGTGTAATTTACTCTATCTCCCCTTTTGTGGAGCGTTTTTCTGCCTGTGGTCTTTTCTAATCATGGAATTGTCACTTTTGCCATTACAAAATACTGGTCCTATGACATTGTTCAAATTCACAGCTCTGAGTGGTGGAGAGAAGAGAGGAGATAAAGTTTTAAAAATTGTTTTGCCCACTTCTGCCTTTTCCAAGAGCATTTTAGGAGTTTAACATACATATGAACAGATGCAGTTTTCATTCTTAAAATCCCAGATGAAAATGTGCTGTCTTGTCAAGACCAAAACAAAAAGAAAAAAAAATACTGCTAGCGTGTTGAGAAATCCTCATTAGTTAATTGTGGCACTACAGATCAACTTTTTCTTTTCTTAACAGAGTGGAGACCTGTTGTAATTCCATTGATTTCACTACATCAGACTAGTAAAAATCTCTCAGAAATCAAACCTTGTCTCTGAAACATATTCCTTTATATTCAACATTGACAAATGATCTGAGTGCCTGTGTTTTTCTGTCTGAAACAAATCTGTTCAGCCATGAAGTCTAGAAGGAATAGCAGGGTACTTCTTGATAGACATTTTAATAATTCAAACAACTTATACAATGTGCTACAACGGCGATGTGAAGTGACACATGGCACATAGGCTGCAATGAAACAATGACAACAGGCACAGAAATCTGTGCAAAGTTGTAATTCTATATCCCTTTCATCCTTTCCCTACATCTATATACTGTAAGTAGGAAGTTTATTTTGGGAGAAGAATGAATACACTTCTTGTGTCATTCAGCAGCATTTTCCGCTGCATGATGCATCTGATGATACACTCTTAAAAGCAGCTTTCAAGAGACACTGACTCCCCCCAAAGTTAAAAGCAAAGAAACCGACTAATTAGAACCTGTCCTTCCTCATTTAAAGAAATAAAAATAACTCTCACTTGTGTACAGTGTATGTTGTAGCTGAAAAATTGAAAAATAAATCCCGTATGTCAAGATGATGCCTGTTACAAATTACATAAATGATGTATTAAACTAATAAAAGCCTTTGATTAAAGTAAGATTAATGTATAGCTATAATAACTCTCAGGAAAAACAATACCATCCCCTATTGGAAGTAGATACAGTTGGCCAAGACCTGTAAGTCTGAAGTCCAAATCCGATAGTGATTTTTTTTAACCAGTAAATGATTCTCACATATTGTCAGTTATCTTTACAGAAATACAAAAACACAAATATTCAGGCAAAAAGTTCTATAATCTGAGCTGCCTCCTTGCAGAGGGTGCTGAAAATACACCAAAGCATGTGAGAAAAGTAATGCATGCTGTCCATACCTTAAAGGAATAATAAAAGGATCCCCACTCCTCTTCCTCCACCACTTCAGTGAAAGTCACCGTTTCTGTGCAGGTGACAAGGGTAAAATCCAGCCAGTCCGTACTTCCATGGGAGCTGCTGCTGGCTTCTGTGAAGGCAACATCCATCACTGGATTTTGCTCTAGTTGTCTAGGTGCTTGTTTTTTTAAGCGTTAATGCAGCCAAGCTTCTCCTGTAAGAGCACAGCAGCAAAAACAGCTTCTCACTGCTCCAGTGCTGGCTACCAGAGGCATAAGGCTTTAGTGCAGCTGAGTGATGAAAAAAAAACAGGCAATCTGGAGTCGTTCCTTTGAGCTCTCCTTTGGTACCACTCTGACGACAACTGTCCACATGCTCTTTCCAGCAGCTCAAGCGGCTCCTGTGGGAGACTGAGCAACTGTGGGCTCATCCATACGCCTTGCAGACTCAATTCTTGCACCCAAAGTTGGCAAGTCAGGAGTCGGGAATACCTGTAAAGTCATGGGCATCCTTCCTACCTTAGAGCTGAGAAGTCTGGCTATTCCACTCAGCAGTTTTGCTTTCCATTGCCTGCAGAATTGCAGTATGGCCACATACAAGCATCAACGTGCTCTCCTATAATAGCAAAGCCCTAGGAAGCTTTGAGGGCTAAGCTGCTATAATCTGCCTGTCAATTACTGTCTGACTTTGGACATTGTCTTTACTAAGAAAAGTCACAAATAGGTCCAGGCAGACCCCTTTGCAAAGCTACCAAGGTGCCATACACCCACTATAAACAGAGGTAAGGAGCCCTTCTGGAAAGGCAAGGGTTCCAGAGGGTGCTGAGGCCACACACACAGACGTTGGATTCAAGGACTTTCCACAACAAGGGAATCAACGCTTTCCATAACAAGGGAATCATTTTCTACTCACTGATCTGAGCATTGTCTGCCCTTATCCTCCGCTTTTATTTATTTATTTATTTATTTATTTATTTATTTATTTATTTATTTTCCAGGTGTGCTGCTCCGGGTTTACATGACAGATGAAGTTCTGCACTTTCCCTGTCCAGAGTGCAAAAAAAAACACATATAAATCCAGGACTTACTTGACTTGGCTTGATGGAGTCATTCTGCCTTGATATCAGTGCAATTATTAGCAGAATTGATTGAATTTTCACCCCCAAAACTACCTGCTGGTCACAGACTCTACTGTGTATGTGTGTACAAGCAGTGTCAGGGACCATGTGAGAGCTGAGGAGGAGCATGAACAGCAAAAGAACAAGGGGTGACATCAGGGCCTTCTGGCCTGTAATAACAGAAGGATATCAGCTCACATGGTGAAATACTGCTCTGGATTTTGAGTCTTAATCCTCTCAGATTGTGACATGGCTAGATCTAGGGCTTTAAAATCATAGAATCATAGAATCCTTAAGGTTGGAAGGAACCTCTAGAGATCGTCCAGTCCAACCCCCCTGCTCACGCAGGGTCACCTAGAGCATGGGGCACAGGGCTGCATCCAAGCAGGTTTGGAAGCTCTCCAGAGAAAGAGACTCCACAACCTCTCTTGGCAGCCTGTTCCAGGGCTCTGTCACCCTCACTGTTAAGAATTTTTTCCTTAAGTTCCTGCGGAACTTTTGGTGCTTCAATTTGAGGCCATTTCCTCTAGTCCTATCGCTGCCCACCACTGAGAAGAGGCCACCCCCTCCTCCTTCTCTTGAGGTATCTATAGACACTGATCAGGTCCCCCCTCAGCCTYCTCTTCTCCAGGCTGAACAGGCCCAGCTCCCTCAGCCTTTGCTCATAGGGCAGATGTTCCAGGCCCCTGATCATCCTCGTAGCCCTGCGCTGGACTCTCTCCAGCAGCTCCACATCCCTCTTGTACTGGGGAGCCCAGAACTGGACACAGTCTCCAGATGTGACCTCACCAGGGCTGTGTATAGGGGGATGATCACCTCCCTCGACCTGCTGGAGATGCTCTTCTTAATGCACCCCAGGATCCCGTTGGCCTTCTTGGCCACCAGGGCACACTGCTGCCTCATGGTCATCTTGTCATCCACCATAATGCCTGGGTCACTCTCTGCGAGGTTGCTCTCCAGAAGGTCAGTCCCCAACCTGTATTGGTGTCTGGGGTTATTCCTCCCCAGGTCCTTGCCTTTGTTGAACTTCATGAGATTTCTCACCATCCAGTTGTTCAATCTGTCCAGATCCCTCTGGATGGTGGCCTTCCCGCTGGGGAAGGCTTTTCTGGGCTGTGGGGAAACCTCTGGATTTCTGAACAACATGCAGATCTTTCCAGGTGATGTCAGAGGGATCCCCGGCAAGGTTTTCGTTTGGTTCCATCTATAGGTGATCAATTCAATTCATCATGAGGAAGAATCATCACTGATTTTTATGTTCCAGAGATCAATACTTAAACAGCAGTGAATGATGCACAGGTTGGAATATGATCAGACAGGTAGAAATATCCTAGAGCCATCATATTACCTGAAAAATAGCAAGCAAAACATTCTTTAACAAATTAGGTGAAAGAAAGGAGGAAAGCCTTTTGGAGTGTTTTCCCACTAACGGTACAGGTTTACTCCAAGGCCTGGATAAGGAGGATTTAAGTTGCATCCATATTTCCTGAAACCACCTTACTATGCATTTACTTTTTCTTTTTTTCCCTTTTTTTTTTTTTTATGTTCATAGAACTCCTTTTCTAAGAGTTAAATATTATTGCAGTGAATGCTTGTTTTGCTCTGTCATTCCTACAGAGTTGTTATGCTTGTGCATATTGTGGGCACTAAGAGGCTTTTCAGTGGTAAGCCAGGTCCTGCACAGCTCTCAGATCTAAACCAAAAGTCACTTCTACTGTGATTTTGCCAGCTAGTTGCCCTAAAAAAATACTTATCATATTAAAAAGGCTGCATCATGCTCTGGTCCAGCAATTATCAGTCTACAGAGAGGCAATTCAGGTCTTCCATTAGCACTAGATTTTCCATCCTGACTCTGAATGTCTCACAGTCACTGCCACCATCCTGGTTTGTTGATGACCAGTTTTGTTGAAATGCTAATTCCATTTAGTCACAGAATATGAATCTGTTGACTGTCTCCAGTATCATATCTATAATCAAACTACTTCTCTAGGACCCACTACTCCTTGTTTAAGCACCTACAACATCGTGTTAGCTCTCTGAAGCTTGGTATTTGGGAATTCTGTTGTTATTGTCTTCTTCCACCACCCTGTCCTTTAAATTAAGTTAGATTTAAATGAATGGTGGAAGAAAAGACTTTGCTGATGGAATGGCAAGAGCCTATAAAGGGTAAGATCAAATCCTAGAAATCTGTCTGTGAAGAATGATTAACAACTGGGTGATTTCTACAAACGACTTGGTAGTTTTCCCCAGCCAGAACTTTGAAAAGTCAAGAGGAACTTGCAGCATATGAAGCAATTTAGAGTCTTCTCATGGATTTATTGTAAAATGCTCTCAAATGATTACTCTAGGATGATTTTTTTCCTAATATATACTAAAATGTGATACTATTTTCTTAACATTTTAAACTTCTTTTTAAAGCAATTTTGAGAACAACCTTTAAGCAATGAGAATGGATTATTTAGAAGAAGAATCAGAGGACTAGTTCTAGAAGCTATTTATTTGCCATTCTCTTTACTTTGGTCTCCAAAGCTATGTAAAATTAGTTTCCTTATACATAACCTTGAACGATGTGACCTGCAAACCTAAGAGAGGTTCCAATGGAAGCTGAAGAGAATATTCTGCAGCTGCAGTGCATAAAAATCTGGTATCTCCCATGAGCAGACACAGGAGGGAGACTGCTAATACTTCTCTTGTGTGTCCCCACCATGCAGTGTCCTGTTTGGCAATGGCGGGAAGTCTTGTAAAACTGCAGTAACTGAAATCAGACCATTTTCAAGTGCTATGATGAGAATAAGAAAGGTGCCTCTGGAGAAAGAGACACATCAAGTCTGAAAGATTTTTAAAGTCCAGTACAAAATAGTGATTTTAAGTATGTAGAGGAATTTCTTATGCAAAACCTCTGGTCTCCCTGCCACAGTAATCTTGAAACAAAATACATGGAAGGGGACATTTTGCAAATCATGTTTTGGAGCACCCCCTGCTCTGCCCCGATGCCTTTGCAGTCATGTTGGACGTTGCGGTCCAAAGCCCATTAGTGGGGCAAGAGGGACCCGTGTGTGTTTACACAGTTCCTCCTGCTGTGAGCATTTCCTTATCTTGTCTGCCTTGGCAGAAACTGTAGCCTGGCAGTGCCTTTTGTGCTTAATATTTGTAATTTGCCCTAAATCGGCTGATTTAAATGTTTTAGCGTGACTAATTATATTTCATTAATTATGCACATCTGAAATGGACAGAAAAAAGGTTTTGCTCAAATCTGTATTATTTTATAGAGAACTTCTTACACTATCTTTAAGTACAGCAAAATGTATATGGCAAAATTTGTAGCATATATACAGTGCATATAGTATATACATGCATAGTTTAAGTAGAGGATTGCTCTTTTCTGCATTGAGGCAGAGTTGGGAATATAGCGCAAAACTTTGGATTTTTACTCTTTGGGGTTCCTGACATCCTGGAGCAGTTGCACACAGTCAAATCAATGCCAGAAGTGAGTATTATTAACAGACCAGAGGAAGAAAGAGAATGAGATATTTTTTGTGTTAAAAAGACAAACAAGTCCCAGGAAAGTTCATTGTCTGATGCAGCTCAGATGCATCCCTGTGTCCCCGCTTGCACAGCACTGGGGCAGAAATTGCCCATTAGGGACACAGCTCCTGTGCTCTGTCAGAGGCACCTGCGAGAGCACCGACTTGCTGCCCATTAGCTTGAAGGCTGCTTGTTATTTTCTGTTTGCACCATGAATTTGGTGAGGCTGGAGATCGCCACGCAGCCCAGACCAAGGCAGAGAGTGAGCCTGGCAATAGTGTGCGTGGCTGGGAAGGGATGCATGCATTTCTGGGCAAATTTTTGAGCATTTCTGGGCAAATTTTTGAGGCTGGAGCTGTGCATAGGCAGGGACAGCACTGTCTGTGTCTTTCTTTGCACCTTGGTCCCCAGCTACCCTCCCCGTACCATCTGCATGCATGGCACGGCGATTCGGGCTCTAACTAGCTCCCTCTTCATGCTCACGGTTTTACAGTTACTTTTAATCCC